GCATGAGCTCTGCGTCTGACCCCCGTGGGGCATGAGCTCTGCGTCTGACCCCCGTGGTGCATGATCTCTGTGTCTGAGCACTGTGGTGCATGATCTCTGCGTCTGAGCACTGTGGTACATGAGCTCTGCGTCTGACCCCCATGGTACATGAGCTCTGCGTCTGACCCCCATGGTACATGAGCTCTGCGTCTGACCCCCGTGGTACATGATCTCTGCGTCTGACCCCCGTGGGGCATGATCTCTGCGTCTGACCCCCGTGGGGCATGAGCTCTGCGTCTGACCCCCGTGGTACATGATCTCTGCATCTGACCCCCGTGGGGCATGATCTCTGCGTCTGACCCCCGTGGTGCATGAGCTCTGCGTGTGACCCCCGTGGTGCATGATCTCTGTGTCTGAGCACTGTGGTGCATGATCTCTGCGTCTGAGCACTGTGGTGCATGATCTCTGCGTCTGAGCACCTAATGGGTGTCTTCCGTGTGCCCCATCCTCTGACGGCCAGCGGACGGCATGACATCCAGGCCCACAGTGACTGTCCCCAGGTGTCGCTTTCAGCCCATTCGTGCATTCAGTCGGTACTTTCCGCGTTTGTACGTGAGAGCATGGCGTAGGACAGGACAGAAGTGCCCGGTGGAGCGGGAGCATCTCTGCGTAACCATCCGCCCGCTTCTGTGTACGCAGACAGCGCAGGCCTGAAGAACACCTCCTTCCAAGCTCTGTGCCCGCCCCGCGCTGCTGCCCCCTAGCGGAGTGTCCTGTTACCCCTGGGAGAACCGTGTGGGTCCCACAGTATTGTTGGGTGGTCTCCTCATGGTAGGTCGCCTCTTACAGTCACTGAAGTCATTCGATAGGTTATTTTTCTAGGTCGTGATGGCAAAGTGATGCCTTGCTAACCGCCAGAGATAATCTGTCCTAAAGATACCAGCAAAAAACAGACTAAACAATGAAGCGCGGAGCTGTGGCTCAAGTGGTTTAGCACTAGCCTTGAGCATAAAAAGCTCAGGGAAAGTAGACCCGCCCCCCTACAGGCTGATCTGTTCTTGAACATCAAAACCAGTTATAAGGAATTGTTGAGATCTGCATAGGTGGTGGGGCGGGGGAGAAGGGGGGCCGGGGAGAAGGGGGTCACTAGTAAGCATTCTACCAGACTGGAGAAAACACACTGTTGAACTGGAAAACTTGATACGCTGTACCAGCATGAGCAGGTTTTTTGTTTGTTTTTGTCGGTTGTGGGAGCTGAACTCTGGGCCTGGGCGCTGTCCCTCAGCTCTTGGGCTCGGGGCTAGTGCTCTACCACTTGAGCCACAGCACCACTTCCAGGTTTTTTTCTGCTTACGTGGTTCTGAGGAATCAAACCCAGGGCCTCATGCATGCGAGGCAAGCGCTCTACCACTGAGCCACCTTCCCAGTGCATGGCAGGTTTTGAACGTAAGACAGAGTGTACATTGCAGGGGACGGAGCATCTAGAAGATGGAGGAGTTAAAATAGACTCAGGCATTAAGGTAGCCTCCTAGGGAAAAAATCCATCTCAACAAAGGACAAGATATGAGCAGGTGTGGCGGTACACTCCTGTAACCCACGCTGCTCAGGAGGCTGAGGGGAGGATTGTGGTCCATCAGCCTGTGCAGAAGGTTAGCAAGACCCGTCTCGACAAGCCCGGCAGGCTCCGTGAGGCATGGCTCTAGTCCCAGCTGTGCTGAGGATGGCAGTTATAAACACCAGAACAGCAAAAAGGAGCGAGGGGCTGGGTGTGGCCGGAGGCAGGGAGCTCGCTTGGTTAGCTGTACGAGGCCCTGGTTTCCAGCTCAGCCCCGCCAGAGAAAGGGGGACAGCGACCAGCCGTGCCACAGAGTACACACCGGAAGGCAGGACGGCCAGAGACAAAGGGATGACGCTTCCGTGCGTGTGCCGGGCCTGGGTCTTGAACTCGAGGCCTGGGCACTGCCCCTGAGCTTTTGTGCTCAAGGCTAGCACTAACCCTCTCGAGTCGCAGCTCCAATTTCTGGCTTTTTCTGGTTAATTGAGGATGAGAGTCTGATGGGCTTTCCCGCCTGGGCTGGCTTTGAACCGCGATCCTCGGATCTCAGCCTCCCTGAGCAGCTGGGATGACAGGCGTGAGCACCAACACCCGGCGATTCTTTGAGACACCATTGCTCCGTTCCTCCCCATGTCTCTTCTGGGACACACTTAAATACAGGCCATGTGCGCATATTTCTGTCATCTTCCCAATCGCAAGGCCTCCATGGGCGCTGTGAAAAGCAACGAAGCCAGGGGCTTGGGTAGATACGGCACGCTTAGACAGCACCAGTCACACGGTCTCCGGTGCTGCAGCTGCGCGTCCACCTCTGCGTCCCCTCCCGCAGCCTCCACCACACGCAGGAGCTGCTCTACGAGAGCACCAGAGACTTCTTGCAGCTCAGGTTTGACAGCCAGAGCAAGGAGCAGTCGTGGATGCTGGAGAAGGACCAGTTGGTGTTGGAGCTGCGGCTGTACCGGGGGAAGGGCAGGAAGAGGGAGGACCGCAGCGAGAAGGGCCCGCCCACCCTGCACGACAGCCACCCTACCCAGCAGGAGTACGTGAAGGTAACGGCAGCGTTCCTGAGCCTGCGAGCCATGTGCGGGCAGCTTGCAGGGCATCACCGCCGCGGAGGCTTCTGGGGGTTGGAAATGCTGTACAGGGTTCACTCCTTCAAGCCGTGGGCCAGGCCGGTGCCAGCGGCTCACCCCTGCCGCCCCAGCTACGCAGGAGATCAGAGACGTGGAGGGTCTGGTTCCAAGCCAGCCCCGGCAGGAAAGTGTGTGAGACTCTTATCTCCAGTGCACCACCAGAAAGCCAGAAGTGGCGCTGTGGCTCAAGTGGTAGAGCACCAGCCTGGAGCTGAAGAGCTGAGCCACAGCGCCCAGGCCCAGAGTTCAGGCCCCACAAACAAACAAAAAGCCTCTAGCAGCACCCCTTGGAGTAAGGACGAAGAGAAGAGTCTAGAATAGGTTTCCTGCATTCTCCAGAATTCCCTGCCATGCTTCGCCTCCGCCTCCTCCCTCCCCGCGCTGCCGAAGCCATGCTCACCCGCCGCCTGTCCCTTCGCCCGCAGTCCCTGAAGGAGCGGCTGCGGCAGGAGCAGCGGCTGTCCGCCATGTACCAGGAGCAGTGCGTTTCCCTGGAGGAGGAGCTCGCCCGCATTCGGGAGGAGGAGGGCGTGAGGAGAGAGATTTTCAAGGTAGGGGAGGCCCCGCCTCCCTGGCGGGGTGGTGGGGTCGCAGGGCGCGTGCGCTCCCGTCCCCCGCCTCCCCCTCCCTCCCCCCACCTCCCCCCTGCACGTCCCCCCGCAGGACCGCTCCCACAAGATGGGAAAGCGCCTGCAGCTGATGACCAAGCGCTACGAGGCCCTGGAGCACCGCCGCATCCTGGAGGTGGAGGGCTTCAAGACCGACATTAGGATTCTCCGGCAGAAGCTCAAAGACCTGGAGCAGATGCTCTACAAGGTAAGAGCTGGGCCCCGGGACTGCAGGGAGAAAGGGGTGGAGATTCGGGGGCTCCCCCTGAAGAGCCTGCACCCGCCCTGGCCCCAGGGCCCCCAAGAGCCCCCCCCCGAAAATCAGCTCAAGCGCCCCCTTGAGGACGGGTAGAAACGGGGAGTGATGAATATTTGCATCTAAGCCGGGCACCTGTGACTCACGCCTGTAATCCCAGCTACTCTGGAGGCCGAGATCTGAGGATGGAGTTGAAAGCCAGCCTGGGCAGGGGAAGCCCATGGGATTCTTATCTCCAACCAACCACCGAGACGTGGGAAGTAGAGCTGTGGCTCAAAATGGTAGAGCACCAGCCCTGAGGGGCCAGCACCCGGGCTCTGAGTTCAAGTCCCAGGACTGGTGCATGTGTGCACGCGCACGCACACACAGAATGCTTGTAAGCAAACTTGGGAGTTGTTCCTCCAGCCCTGTGTCGAGGCCGAGGGGGTCAGTGGGCAGAGCAGGGCTCCCAGCTTCCGGCGCCACGTTCCCTCAGGACCCCTCATGGACGCTTAGGGTCCCCACAAAGCCTCCGCGGCAGCAGGAGCAAGGCGGCTGTGTGTGCGGGTCTGACGGGTGCCGCCGCCGTCCGCCTGCCTTCGCTGCATCCCGAGTCACCCAGGCCTGAACGGCCTCGCTGCGCCCGCGATGCCGACACGCCGCTGACGGCCTCTTCTTCCTGCCCCTCCGCAGGCCACGCTCAGCACCCAGGCCAACAAGGACCTGGCCATGCTGTGCGACATGCGCAGCAGCAGCCGGAGGGCGCACCGGATCCAGGGCGAGCTGCGGAACCTCAAGTCCAAGGTGTTCGGGCTGGAGAACCAGCTGCGGCTCTGCTGACCTGGCTCCGGGGCCTCCTGAGATGGGGGGGACCCCACCCCCCACCCCGCAAGGCACCGGCGGAGGAGAGGCAGGCTGGGTGCGACCCGTGCTCGCCGATGGGCTGAGGAGAAAGCTCTTGTCCACGGTCCTGCTGTAGCCTTGTTTTCGTTTTTTGTTTGTGTTTTTGGGGGGACCCTGGATTACTTACCATGTGTTACCTGGTTTCGTTTCTTTAAAACGATGAGGAAACTTAGGAAGCAATGTCTTGGCTGTGAGCCTGGCTGGGCTCCGTGGGCAGGGCGCCTGTGGGGGGGGAAGGGGGAGGGCGGGGGCTGGGGGGGGGCTGCAGGAGTCAAGTCCAGGCAGACCCGACCGCGCCCATCAGCCCGCCCCGAGCGGCCACCAGGGGGCAGTAGACACCCCGCCCCAGCTCGGCCTGCATCCCGGACACCAGCGGCCGCCCTGGCAGCCCAGGGGACCCTGGGTGAGAAGTTTGACATTTCGTTAGTAAGGCGTTATCTTTTGTGCTTTCACTTTTAATAATTTGTGTGTTTCAAGTGAACTGTTTTCAATAAAGACTCTTTTCCTGCATGTCTTGTAAGAGCCAGCTTAATGCTCTGTAACAACTTGCCTGTCCCTAGCTCGGCAGTTTTGGGGTGCGCGCGCCTGCTCCCCGAAGCCCCTCGGGGCCACGCGTGTGGAGGCGGCAGGAATGGAGGAATACGGTGACATGCGCACACCCAGTCTGCTCCAAGCCCCAGTGTCAGTGGTGTGCGGCATCAAAAGTTTGCGAGACCCCATCTCAGTCAGTGGCTGGGCGCGGTGGTGCATGCCTGTGATCCCAGCAGCGGCCCCGTGTGATCACAGATACACACACCACACGTTCAGCTTCCTCCGTGGAGGTGGATTCTTCTGGGTTTTTCTGCCCCAGCTGCTCTGGAACTTTGATCCTCGGGATCTCGGCCTTCCGTGGGATGGCATGTATGAGCCCCCTGCATGCAGCAATGGGTAGAGACAGGATCTTGAACATTTCTGTCTGGGCTGGCCTGGAACCACGATCCTCCTATTCTTGGCCTCCCCAGTAGCTAGGATTACAGCTGCAGCACCCAGCTTTGGCTCATCTACCTCCCTCTAGATCTAACTTTAGGTCGCTGTAAACTGCACAGCAACTGTTCAAGGCAGGGGGGTGCTGTGCGTGTTTTTCCCAGCTTCCCCTCTGATGGGTTTAGCCGGCAGTTGCTCCATCCTGTCCGCCGGTCTGTCCACCGGTCTGTCCACCTGATCCCTGCCCTCAGCCCATCGAGTCCTACCCGCCGGTCACCCCTGCAGCTAACCAGCTAACCACGGCAGCGCCGGCTCCGATCGGTGCCAAGTCAGTGCGGCCCTGCTGGCAGCCTTTTAATTGGCAACCCTGCCTTGACATGCAGAAAGGGAGATTAAAGATTAAACGGGGGACCCAGATTTCAAGGAGCCCGTGCGTTATCACCCCGCAGATCCTTAGATCTCTCTGGGCCCTGCTCCGCCAGCGGGGCCCACGGCAGGGCAGTGTTCCGGCTTTCACTCAGAACAACCCCCCTCCCCGCGCGTGTGAGATTCCAGGCCGCCCGGCCCCTGATAAGCCCTGCAGAAAATAGCTCTGTTTCGTCCGTGGGCCAGCCGCCAGCGGCAGCTCGCTTTCTCTCTGTCAAAGCTTTGAGCTCCTTACCCCAAAAATGACCTTTGGAGCCTCGCTCTCCTCTCCTGCCTCCTCTGCCAGCTTCCCGCTCCGGCCTCGTCCCTGGAATCCTGCGCTCCACTCATCAGCCTGACCACGCCGCCAACACCTCCCTCCCCGCCTGCTCTTTTTTTTGGTTGGTGCCGGTCTTGGGGCTTGAACTCAGGGCCTAGGCTCTGTCCCTGAGCCTTTTCCCTCAAGGCTGGTGCTCTACCACTTGAGCCACAGCGCCACTTCCAGCTTTTCTGGTGGTTCATTGGACCTAAGAGTCTCACAGACTTTCCTGCCCAGGCTGGCTTTGAACCCCAATCCTCAGATCTCAGCAGCCTGAGCAGTGTCATGGAGGAGGCGCATGGCAGAACAAAACAAGAGCAAAGGCTCCCAGCCTCCTGAGGCTGCTCTGCCTCCTTGCTTCCTCCCAACAGCTCCACACAGGGGGACAGTCCTTCACCACTGGGCTTTGGGGGGGCAGTCCACATCGCCTAGGTCTTCTCATTCCTTGGATCATAGTAGAATATGCCTGTCATCCAGCTACTGGGAAGAGAGAGGCAAGAGAATCACAAGTTGGAGACCAGCATGGAGCCGGGCGTGGTAGCTGATGCCTACAGTCCCAGCTGCTTGGGCGGCCAAGGCTCCTCTGAGCAATGGGAGCTGGGAGACCCCTTCTCAAAGCAGCAAACGCAAAGGACTGGGCAGAGTTCACGTGTCCAGCATGAGCCCGGCACACGCAGGGCTCTGGCTTTAGTCCCCAGCACCACGAGAAAGAAAAGAAAAACCCTGTGGAGTTTCTTTCCCAAGAAAGCTCAAAAGCCGGCGCGGCGTCCCTGGAGAACGCTACGGAATTTAAGTGAAACCTACCCCCCATTTTTTTCCGTCTAGAAAGCCAAAGTAACAGGGATGAAAGACAGGGGATCTGAGCCCGCTGAAGAGGCGGGTGGCCAGACTTGGTGAAGACCGGCTTGAGGCCTCAGAGTCACTGGGAACACCATCAAGGAGAAGCTGGCGCGGTGGCATGCGCGTCTCTACAGTTCCAGCTCTCTCGGGAGCCTGACACCAGCCTGGATAACACAGCCAAAGACCCTGTCCGGGGAGAAGAATCCTCCAAAAGAAACCTGAGAAATGGTCCTTGCAAAAGCCCTGGGCTCCATGGCTCACATCAGCTCACTCCGGAGGCTGAGCTCCAGAGGATCCAGATTCAAGGCCAGCCTGGGCAAAAAAGTAAACGAGACCCCCCCCCCCGCCCCCATCTCAATCAATAAGCTTTGGCTGGAGGTGTGGTAAAGCACCTGCCTAGCAAGTAACAAGGCCCTGAGTTCAAACCCCCGTAACCACCCCTCCAAAGATCAAAACCCCAAACCCCATCAGTAATGCTGGAGACTGCCCCACGCTGGTGGCTCACGCCTGTAACCCTAGCTACTCAGGAGGCTGAGATCTGAGGATCGTGGTTCAAAGCCAGCCCGGGCAGGGAAGTCCATGAGACTCTTATCTCCAATAAACCACTCAGAAAACCGGAAGTGGCACTGTGGCTCAAATGGTAGAGTGCCAGCCTTGAGCGGAAGAGCTCAGGGACAGCGCCCAGGCCCAGAGTTCAAGCCCCACGACTGACAAAAAAGAAAAAGCCAAAAGTGGAGCTGAGTGTAACTCAAGGGGTAGAGCGCCACAGCCTGGAGCAGAAAAACCTAAGGGGACAGTATCCAGGATTTTGGAGTTGGAGCCTCAGTACTGGGCACAAAAACGAGACCCCAAAGCAACACTCCCCCCCCCAATAAATAACTAGCCTTCTACATGCAGCATGCGCAAGGTGTCCCGGGAGAGCAGATGGAATTTCTCCCCCTTGGCGGCCTTGCTGGGGGCTCTGTGTGTTCTCCCCTCCGTGGCCAGTCGGGGTGGCGGCCACAGACTCAAAGGCCAGTCTGTTCTCCGGAGCCGACGCTCCCGCAGCAGCCCCGGCCCAGACCCTGGCAGCTGTGCTCAGATAACGGGGGGCCCTGGGAAACCCGAGCCCCGGGCCCCATCGGCCCCACAGCCTGGCCGGGCTGCAACCTGAGCCCGGGCCGGCTGGATAGGAGTCTGCACTGATTGAGGGGGCAGGCCCGGGTTTCCTGGCTCGCCCTGGCGGCAGCCTGCACCTCTGAACCCACACAAAGGAGGGTTTCAGAAAGTCTGGCCGGGGCTTGGATGCTGGGGCTGGTTTGTGGCTCTGCGCGCATGTACTGGGCCTCAGGACCATTGTTCTGTCTCACAGAGCCATAAGGTAGGTTCATAGAACCGAGGGAGGGCCGGGGCCTGGGTCATCTCCAGCGTTGGAGACAAAAGAAGAAACATCCGTTACCCCCACACCACACCACTCCCCGGCTCTGTGTGGGCCACAGATATGTCCTCAGCCTGTTCCATTTCTGTTTGATCAAGGGAAGGCACCTTTAAATGAGCAACTAGAGAGAAAGAGAGAGCGAGCCTCACAAGAATGGAGAGTAAGCCCAAGGTCCCATGACTGCAGTGTCTTGTCGAATGATAGAAGCATTCAGCGATCCACCCGTGGTAGCACACGCCTATAATCCCAACTTCTCAGGCGGCAAAAATGGGAGGACTGCAGTCCCCAGGCTCTTCTGGCAAACACACAAGACCCTGTCTGAACAACACTAAAAGCAAAAAGGGTCTTGGGGGAGTGTCATGTGACTAAGCCCCGCCCCACGCCCCACGCCACAGGCCAGGACTCTTGAGTTTCCATCTTCTCTGTAGGAACGCGCGCCGTAGAAAGATCTGGAGGCAGTGGACGGAGGGAAGGAGGGACAGGCAGGAAGATCTCTGGAGTGAAGAATGGGCAGCAGGTAGGAAGCTGGGGGGGGGGGAGGTGGGGAGGGAAGCAGGTGGGGGGAAGGAAGGTGGGGAGGGAAGCAGGTGGGAGGGGGAGGAAGCTGGGGGGAGGGGAGGAGGAGCACGAGGAGGAGAATCATGTGGTTGAGCCATGGCAACTTCAGCTCAGAGTTTCCAGAGGGACTCATTTCTCCAGGGGAACTAACAGGACAACAGCACACACCGGCGATGTACCAGATCCCTACCTAGCAAGTGCAAGGCCCTGAGTTCAAATCCCAGTACTGCCAAACAACAACCAAAAGGCACCTGATCCAAGGCCTTGTAAGTGGAACGTGGCTGTTGGGGCTGTCTGCCTGAAGCCCGGCCGGGCCTCCTCCCCAGCGCCACCAAAGGGGAAAAGCAAATCAGCAACAATGAAAATCACTGGGCTGCGCGGAGGTGGCTCTCCGGGCTCCCACAGCGGAGCCCGTGACACCTACGTCTTGTGTAGCAAGG